TAGGAAAAGGTACATGCACTCACCAAGTAAAAATCAGAGTGTTATAAAGAGAAATGAAAACCGATAATTCAGTATTGTGTATTTATGACAACCAGTAGACCAGTACAGGCATGTAAATACTACCTTACGTAGCTTTCCTTCATCTACAAATTTTCTTCTGGGTGCAGGTGCTTGAATAGTAGAGTTAACTGTGGACTTTGGCGAACTGTCAGTAGTAAGGGAGTTTTGGTTTGGAACAGCCGGCTGAAAATTCCGGAAAAGTGGTGGTGGAGCCATACCGGATAGCTACAATTTGACAAATATACAAGTCAATTTACATTTCATTCACAGATGCTCTTTAACGCACATAGACAATACACCATGACCAAACAAATGCTTACAAAATGAAAACATAAAATTCTACAGATATGTAAAAAGGTAGCATGCCAAACCAAAGACATTAAAATAGACTCAGAACTAATAGCCAATGAAAAATTAACCAAACCATCTTTGGCACCGAAGGTATAACAGAATAAGCAATGCAAGCAATATAAAATCACTACCCCATGATGCATTACCTGTGCAGCCACTGGCGAAGGGGTATTATAGAATGTCATGTTCGAAACACCTCCATTAAGACCATGAGAATGGAAATTTCCAGAGATATCTTTAAGGCCATGGCCTTGCGTGTGCTTGGGCTGCCTTGGACTGTAATCTTCAGAACTCGTGTGTTTAGCTGAAGTCGTATTACGTTCCTCATTGTACGTGTTTAAGCCGAGTGAAGTTGACAGTTGTTGCATGTACTGCTTTTGGATGGAGTGAGCAGCTGCTTCACCAAAAACCACAGTTGCTTCCTCAGCAGCACCTGAAAAAGTAGGATGGCGAGAAAAAACGTATGAGAACCATAACAAACGTAACAAGTAGGCAGAAAATGCATTATGTTCACCTAGTATGCATAATTCCTCATATGCAGCCCAAAGCAGAGGATCCAGTGTCAAAGACTGCTTAAATTGTTGAGCAGCGTTCTTCCTTCTATCAGTATACCTGAAAGATCAGTTATGAGAAAACATCTCGAACAGCACATTCAGAATAAAGACGAAAATGCTTAGAGAGAGAGAGAGAAACGAACTTGTAAATAAGTCCAAGAAGGTAATGACCCGCTGCACCATTTGGGATCTGCAGATAACCAGAAGCTACGTTATTACCTTCTGAAGTGAAGCAAATCAACACAAAAGTTGCAGATACTGACACACTGAATTTGTAAAAATACATTCAGTGAGGGAATTAATGCAATCAACAAGAGATGAAAAAGTACCTCCGCACCAGGTTCACTAACAGGGCAGAGTGCAGATTCAGCTTCATTGAGAAGGTCCATCTGGTAGCAAGATAACGCGAACAAGTACCGAGACTGAGCCATTTGTGTTCCTTTACATAACAACGACGCAAGAAAAAAAACAAAAAGATGAGCAAACGACCTAATAAAAGAAGCACGAAACCAAGCAAAAATACCCTTGAGGAGATGATAGGCACTGTAAGCTTGATTATTCTGTAGGTAACTGGTGGCTAATAGCTGCAGATTAACCTATTTAAGAGGAAAAAGAGAAAGGGATTAGACAAGAAGGCTAGACTTTTATTGACATGTTTTCACTTAAACAAAGCTAGCAAAATAGGACAAGTGTAATTGAAGCTGTATAAACCCTAATTTGAAGGTTATGCAATTGCCTATAACAGTTGGATTCATAGCTAAGCTCCAAGGAAAGTAAACACTTCGGGATAACAAAATAACAAAGGACAAAGTCAAAACATTGGGGGGGGGGGGGAGAGATCTAAAGAAAAAAGCAACCCAGCCTCGTTTTGCAATTTGTCAAAGATAGAACCTGGCTAGGTCACTAGTGGAGATTCCAAATTCGAACTAAAGATAATGAATTTATCATCTCACTGACCAACGAAACAACTTCTAGATCTTAAATCAAAAGGGGGTAAAAGCTAAGAAACCCAAAATCGATCTCGTATAACTCAAGGACGCGAATGAATTACACACCCCACAATTACCCAAGTTGAAAACAACACAGAATCTCTATATTTCGAAATCAGCAACAGCAGAGAGAGAGAGAGAGAGAGAGAGAGAGAGAGAGAGTGGAAAGAAGAGGTAACCTCAGAGGGAAACTCAGCGCAGAGACGCTCGCACATGAAAATGGCATTCTTGTACACAAAATGACTGAGACTGTTGCGTACACAGTCCACTAGCATAGCTTCCATTGGTACGCTCCGTATGACAGGACCCACACCGAGCTGAAGCTCCGAAAGAGGATCTTCAATTTCCTGAAACTCTGTTTGTAATGTGAACATAAATTATATGTCGATTTCCCTTAGATTTGGAATTTTATTAACACAAAACAAGGAAGTAGATGCGTTTACCTTGATTCTGTGTCAAACAAACAAGATTTCAGTTATCAGATAGACGATCGAATAAAAACCCTAAAATCCCCTTAGTTTTTATTTTTAATTTTATATTTTTTAGGATAGTACAATTACTAAGATTGAGATGCATAAACAAAGAATAATCTATGCACACAAAAATGGGCTTTACGGTACCGGTCTAGCCCAAAAAAAACTAATGCGCCACAATAAATCAAATTCAATACGATCCATTAAATAAAAGTAAGTCCATGTGTAGTTCACTCAATACTAAATTATTACAGGTTTAATTTGCATTACAAAGTATACAAATATATACTAGATAATGAAAAGAGCTATTTAGGTGAATAACCAAAGAAAAAAAGTTAATTAGGTATATGGTAATGTATAGGAAGTGCAAATATCGAAAAGGGTGTTTTGACGTCTGTATCCCTAGACAGACATGTCACTTTCTGAGCTGTAGCTAGTAGAGAGATACAATAATTACTCTATGAAACTTTACCAAACGTTATCTAAACATCTATACAACTGTAATTTTTTTTACAGCAATAACTATTCCCAACTCTTCACCTCTCTTCCCAAATTTCTTTCACTCATCTCCAGCAAAATCATTTTGATTTTTTTCTCTGAATATACAGTAACGCTAATCTATAACCGAAGCATACATGTCTGTCCACCAAATCTGGCCGTGAACCATTGCTCAGGGGAGGTGGTCCTTTATCCTCTCCTTTCTTCTCTTCTCCTCTCCCAACTATCTAAATCAAATATGCCGCCGTATTGTGATGGCGTATTGTGATCTGTTTCTAGAAATTATTCGAAACTCACCGTTTTCTTAAATCAATCACCTTCACTTCTGTTGCTAGAAACGACTACGAGGACACACCGCCTCCGCTCATATCCAAGTCCAACGAGCTTGCTTTGTAGTTCTTATACAGAGCCGGGATCGGTGAGTTTAATCAGTTCATTAGACTTTTTTAATCAGTTTACTAGACTTTTTTAGTGATAGGGTATAATTTTGTTAAAGTGGGTGAATGTTAATATATCCGGACATGTCACTTTTAAACCGTATCATATTACATATTACACTAATACATCCGGATATAATGCTTTTAAACCGGATAATAATTTTTCTATATCAAGAATAACATTAAAACATCCGGATATAATTATTTTAAACTGGATAATACTTTTTCTATATTAAATCTACTTTATTCTAGAGAGAATTATAAAGAAAAAAAATAATATTGGAGGTGGTAAGATTGAGAAATCATCTTTTTTGTTTGGGGTCAAAAGATTGAGATATCATCTTTGTTCTAACTATTCTTCGTAATTCATCCCTCAAGTCAGTTCAGTAGCTTGGTACAATGTACTACTACATGTATAATTATTCCAAATTTGAGAAGCTTTGCTGTGTTTCTTGCGCTATTGTATGACCCTGTTTGCTATATATATGAATGTTTAATTGGAGAACTAAATCCCATGTATCCGGTTACACATTGCTGGTGAATGATCACTGACTAGATAACCGTAAAAATTGATGAAATATAATTTGACTTTCATACGTATTCTTGCGTCAAAAATTATAGAGTTATTGTTGCATTACGTTGAAAACATTAAAATCACTGGTTCTCACATATGTGTTCCATTAAACGTACAACACAACATATTAAATATAATTTGCATTTGTACACACAACATCAAACAGGAAATGATCGGAATGTAGGAGACAAGAAGTGACCCATGTAGGATAACATTTGGTGCAAACATAGCATAAACTAATGGTACTAGAGGATGGTTTCGACATTTCAGATTACATGCCATGACCATTTACCTAATTGTGAAAAGGTTATAGTCAGTTACTTAATAAAAATTTGTTTCATGGTTATACACTGCAATTACTCTAATGAAAATGCACAAAATTATAATGCTTGATACGAAACCAAGTAATAGTTTCCGAAAAAATTAGCGTAGAACATTCTCACACCCTGCACAACGTGCGAGTCTTATCCTAGTTTATATTGAAGTCGCAATTTCAAATTTTGAGGCGGCACGTGCGATGCTCTGTTTTCAAACTATTTGGCACATAACGAAACCTAATAACCATTGATTTTTTATAAAAGGAAATGTAGGGCCTCGGTCATGGGTTTAATGGGCTCTGCAGTTAGTCCATTTGTTATCTTTCAATTGTTTAGCAGCTAATAGACTAAAATCTTATATATCATAGTACACTTTCAAGGTTTCTAAAGCTGTACACATAAGTAGTTATCTGGACCCTATGTATATTTTCTTTTAAAACAAAATAGTATAAAGATTTTCCACGATAACTATTAACAATGATGGTTTAGCGGAGAAGCCTAAGCTATTAGTTGAAAGTTTTGCTCCGCAAGTGTATGGATTCGAAACTTTTTTTTGGGTTTTTTATTTTAAGGTTATTTGTTGGGCTTCGACGGCAAGAGCCCGTTAAGCAGTTAGGGTTTCTTCAGTTCCCATTTTGAACGTTTCATGTTTCGATGAATGGATCCTTCTACTCCAGGAACGCTAACATGTGGAGAAATCGACGATTCGTTTCCAGGCTTTCCTTTGAACAGATTCTTAATAAAAAAATGAACTTCAATTCTTCGAACGATTCACTTCATCTCCTCCTTCGCGAGTCGCTCCACGTCTCCTCATATGCCTCATTGTCTTATGCAACTCCGGCGATGTTGGTTAAGCCTCTTGGCTCTGAGGTATTCTATTGTGGAAATCACCACCACCGAGATCGGCAAAAAGGCTAGAGGTATGAATAAACAGTCACATTTCATTTATTTTTGTGTTTGATAATGAATGGGTCAGTGTGTCGGGATAGCTGTTGTTATAGAACGCAATAGCGTCGTCTTGGGCTCTCACACTGGCTCCAGTAAGACTAGGGATGTTATGTACAGGGTTAGGACCTAACTTTCATGTGTTTAATATAAGCCTAGTCTTGTTTAACCTTATTTTTAACCCTATTTTTTTGTTAAGAGTTAGGGCTGGACCAGAGTTAGCCCATTTATTTTCCTACAAATCAATAATTTTTTGCATATCAAATTTAACTGAAATTTAAATGTTTTTCTTACCGTAAGACCCTCCTTGCCTACTTGCTTCCTATTTTCCAGGTAGGTAACTAATCACTTACATTTAATTTGCTTGGTTTTCTTAAGAACATGTCGATTTGAGTTGTATTTGATTTGATTTGTTGCAGGCAGCTGATGAGAGAAGATGAGTCATACTAGGCAAGTAGTTCTCCGGCCTAAGACCATGTCCAACGCGGGATTTTAATTTGATCCTTAGGCAAATCCTTAGGTTTAGGGGAATAAAAATACATTAAACAAATGGCATGCGCTAATGAGTAATCCTTAAATAAGGGGTTTAAGGATTAAGTCCTTAATGCGCTGGCACTGTCTGATTGGTCTGGGTTTAGGTTACTCTTAAGTTAGGCAAAAAAAAAAAATTCATTCTCGCGAGCAGACAAAAAAGAAAACTTCTCGAGGCGATTTGCGATTCGACTTCGTCGAAGGTAAATACGACCTTTCTTGTTCTTTTTCTCCCTTTACGAGTTTATGCGTGTTGTTTTCATCACTTTGAAGGGTTCGATTGTGGGGTGTGAGTTTGTTTAGGGTTCGAAACCGATTTGGGGATTTTCAATCGATTTAGGGTTTTTGTCTGGGTTTCTTATTTTCTTGTTTTAGATTCAGTTCTTCGTTGTTTTCGTCCATATTAAAGGTTGTCGATTGAGTTTAAATCGATTTATGATTTTAGTCTCGTTTTGAAATTATTTTTTTGGACTTTTAGAAACAAAGTCGTCTGCGATTGGTTATTTGTTGATGCATGTTGATTTCATCAGTTTTAAGGGTTCGATTGTGGGGTGTAAATTGATTTAGGGTTTCAAATAGAATTGGGGATTTACATCGAATGGTTACAATCCAGTTTGGTGAGTGAGTTTAGGAGAGTTTCTAGAGTTTTATACAGTTACAAGTTGATGTCTAATAGGTTTGTTGTAATAGAAGACGATGGCTCAACTTCTTCTTCATATTCTCGAGAAAACATGTATCTAAAATTGTTTCTCTTCTTGCAGGTTGTGAAATGGATGAAGAACATCGAGACAAGAAAGCACACAAAGCATACTACGACATGCTTCATTTCGTTTCTGATGTGCAACAGGGGATTCCTAATCTCTACCCTTGTGGATCAATCACAAAGGAAATTGTTGATGAAGAGGACACATATGACTACCTCCCTGGAAGAAGATATTTCATCTGCAAAGACTTCGAGGTGTGAAGTGTTCTTGAGTTTAATAAAATTTATAAACCATCTTGTTCTTCCATATTTTTTGCTGTTTGACAAATTTGATTTGTTTTCGCAGAATGACGGCCTGCATTTCAGGCAACCATGGGTTATGGGTGTGCAACAAGAGGTTGAAAGGCTCAAACTACAAGTTCTTGAGCATGATAAAATTCTGAGAGAGTGTGAGGCACTTAAGGTGAGTTGGTTAACAAACTTATTTTCTTGCAGGCTCAAACTACGAGTTCGTATTATTTTCTTAAGGTGAGTTTGTATTATTTTCTAACCTATTGTTTGGTTATTTTGATGTCTGTCCAGGCACAGGTGAGCATGCTGCTTAGGCGTGTGTCTGAGCTTGAGAGAGTCCCGTGAGGTTAGTGTTTAAACTCTTAAACTCTGCACTTGTTTTTTGAATTAAAAACTTAGTTAAACAATTAAAAAACTATGCAGAAACAAGGTTGAAAATACTCAATCCGGAAATTTTCAAACTACCTGTTTTTGAATTACAAACAAGGTTAAAAACACTTAGTTAATCCGAAACTTTTTAGGTTGAAAACAATTACTTTGCGGTTTGTACTTTCTTACATTTAGTTATAAATGCTAACAAAACTACCAATAAATTTACCCTAACTACTGCTTCCAAACTAAAACTTCATTAAATTGTCTAAAGCTACTCTGATATGACTCGTATCTACTAGTATTCAATTGCTTTGAATTTATAGTCGTGTCTACACTGTGTGTAGTAGAGATTCAGAAACCTAAATGGCAAGCTCAAACCTCTTAGCGAGCCAAGGGTCAGTTGACCTTGACTCTTTAGAAACTCCCTTGTTTAGTAGCCAATCTCCACCAGAGTCTAGTGTCAAAGAGAGGAGAAAGTGGTCTGTCAAGGAGGATTTAATCCTCGTTGGTGCTTGGTTCAACACCAGCAAAGACTCAATAGTGAGTAACGAACAAAAAGATGGTGCTTTCTGGAAGAGGATTGTAGAGTACTACAACTTCAGTCCTCTCTTAGTTGGGACAGTGCCAGGAGAACTCGGAGATGTAAGCAAAGATGGGATAGGATCAACGATTTGGTATGTAAGTTTGCTGGGTGCTACGAGATGGCACTGAGGGATCGGAAGTTTATGTTTGTTTTACTATGTGCAATTTTACTCTACTATGTTTTGAAAACGTTGTATGACAAACGATCTAATTTGACACAAGTTTATTTTTTTGCTTTCCATTACTCTAGTTATGTTTTTTAAAACAGCAACAAGAACATAGGGCTTCTATTTTATATATGTATGTGCTAATTGTACTTATTAACACAAGATTAAATGAGTACTAATTGTGTAATACCCAACATAATTTTAATCATGCATAAAAATTATTCTGTTTTTTTTTTAAATACATTTTGAAGGGAGGATTGGCAAATATGGCAGATGAAGTCGATCGAAGATTAAATGCGGCTTGGATGAGGCTTTCGATGAATATTTTGAAGAAACATACAACAATATCGTGGAGAATCAATCAAATAAACAGAGGAGACGTGCATATATCGAACGAAACCGTGAAGAGGGCCATACCAGCTATGGAATGACTACTTCTCTGAAGATCCGACATTTTCGGCTCATTTATTCAGACGACTTTTCCGCATGAACAAGGAAGTATTCATGTGTATTGTCGACCACCTCTCTGAAAATGTTCCATTCTTTCAATAAAGGAGAGATGTTGTTGGAAGGTTCGGTCTATCTGGACTACAGAAGTGTACAGAAGCTCTCTGTATGCTTGCTTATGGCTGTGCGGCTGAGGCCGTTGACGAATATCTCCGGTTTGGTGAAAGCACAGCACTCTCGTGTTTAAGCAATTTCACTGAAAGCGTAATACAGTTATTTGGAGATGAGTATCTATGAAGACCAACTCCAGAAGATCTTCAACGACTACTCGATGTTGGAGAGATACGAGGCTTTCGTGGGATGATAGGAAGCATCGACTATATGCATTGGGAGTGAAAAAATTGCCCACCGCTTGGAAAGGACAGTACACACGTGGGTCAGGAAAGCCTACAATTGTCTTGGAGGCTGTAGCTTCACATGATCTTTGGATATGACACACTTTTTTTGGTCCTCCAGGTACGTTAAATGATATTAATGTCCTCGATCGGTCTCCTGTTTTGTATGACATTTTACAAGGCCGAGCTCCACAGGTACAGTACGTTGTCAATGGACACCAGTATGATTTGGCGTACTACCTCACAGACGACATATATCCAAAATGGTCAACATTTGTTCAATCTATCTCACTCCCTCAAGGTTCTAAAGCTGAGTTATTTGCGAAAGTTCAAGAAGCAACCCGAAAAGATGTGGAACGTGCTTTAGAGTATTGCAAGCCCGATTTGCGATAGTGAAAAACCCGGAAATTTTGTGGGACAAGAGACAAATAGGGGTGGTTATGCGAACATGTATCATACTTCATAATATGATAGCAGAAAATGAACGCGATGGCTACACTCAGTATGATACATCCGAATTTGAAGAAGGAGACTCAAGTAGAGGTTCACTGGTGGATATGTCAACTCTACCGAGATGCCTTCAAATCTCGGTAATATGCTTGGTGTACAGAATCATGTTCGTGATCGGTGTATACATGAATAACTTAAATATGATTTGATCAAAAATATTTGGAACAAGTTTGGTAATGATGAAGATGTTTAGTTATTGTATGTTTACAATTAATCTTTCAATAAATAAAATTTTAAAAATTTAAATGTTTTAAAAATTTAATAAAAAAATAGTTAAGAACTCCATAATGGATAACACGATTGGAGGACAATTTGTGATTAAAATCCTTAACTATTTAGAAAAAAAAAAATATATATATATATATATATATATATATTTTATCCTTAAGGACTCCAATGGTGAGTAACACTATTGGATGTGCTCTAAGTTGCAGAAGGTCAACCGAGGAAAAGATAGGTTTGAGGGAAATAATTTTTCCCGCCGCCGGAGCTGCGTTGTTGTAAGCTATTATTCTAAATCCTCTTTGACGTCGTAAAGGTAGGTTGTTTTTTTATGATGATTGCTAGAAAGTTATTTGCTTCTTTTTACCGGTAAGAGACTGATGTCTCTGTTGTTTGTGATATGTTTATCAGACTCAATTGCAAGCTCAAGCTGCTGGAGTTTCTTACTCTCCCCCACTCAGTGACGCCATTGGCCGCATGGCCTTCTTTGGACTGAACATGGTATGTGTCTGGACCTTTTTTATTTGTGGGATTAAAGGAGAATAATTTTGTATTCGTTTCACTAACCCAGTTATGTCTTGAGTCACGTAATAATCTTTCATAGAATTGTATGTATTTTCCCACCACATTGTTTCCAGTACAAAAGAACTTTTGAAGAACCCAAGATCATACGACATGTATTTTGCTTTGCAGTGTTAAGAAAATGATAGTTTAGCAACTTGAGTGTAATCTTGTATGTGGGAATATTTTTTTCTCTAATCACTAATACAGGGGGGAATCGCAGTACGGCACGCTTGTGGAGAGGGACTAATGTTGGTCTTGCCATAGCTGTGCAAATGGTATGTATGCTCCCCTATTTACATTTTCAGTTTTTTTTTTGGTTGTGAGAGTCTATATAGATCAGTGAACTCTCAAGTTTCGTGACAGGTTGGGATTTATCTGTCATTCTATGGTATGTTTCGCAGCCGGATGGAAGAATTCTCTCGGGAGAATGCTCCTTCTACAACGATGTTTGTGCCTCTTGTGGCTGGGGCATTGGCATGGTCCCTAGCTTGCACAGATTGTGCTATCCAATCCTAAGACCATTGTTCTTTGTCCCACAAGTGAACTCTCTAAGCAAGTGCTTCAGTAGCTTTTGTTTTGGTGACAAGTACCAGGTGGATATGGCAGTATCTGATGCATTCGACTCAGCTCTCTTTGGAGCTTTCGATGCTGAGATGAACAAGCTGACCAATGTTCCTGCTGCAGGAGTGCCTCAAGCCATGGTAACATCCATCAATTGGGCTCTGTTATTTATTTGTGCATAGTTTTAATTATATTGAAGATCTGTTTAGTTATTTGTGATTGTCTAATAAGTCGCTGGAATGGAGGATGCACATACAACAAGTTGTGCTTGGCTGATGTTAAGGTGGAACTGCTGGGTTTTATGCCGTGATCAAGATACTTTCAAGAAGAAGGCCAAAGCATCTGACTAAGACTATTGCTACGGATCTTCACAAAGCATGATTAACATTTTCCGTGATTTTTAGTTTGCTACGTTTTGTATCAAATTTATCTGTTTCAGTAATTGATCTCCTTTAGAATAAGTTGCCTACTTAGCTATCAAAAGCTTAAGTGGAAACCATCATCAAAGATAACAAATTAAATATTAAAATCAATTAAAAACAACTAATATTTACGACATATAAATTGATATATAATCTATACTATTATCTGCGATTATTCGCAACAAAGTTCTCACGTTAAAAGTTAACGTGGTTAATATCAATATTTCTCTTAATGAACTTTTATATATAGTATTATTAAATAATTTAAATTAAAAACGAATTATTAATTAATAATATTAACTTTATATGTTATATTGGATAATTATAAATGAATAAATAAAAATATCAAAATTATATATATTTTTTAAAAAAATATTATTCTTACATATACTTGATTGTTATCTGAAAACATGTTTTAAATATAAAAATAAATAAAAAATAAGAAGATATATAAACAAAAATTAATTTTGTAAATTCTAATAATGATATTTTCAATGTAATTTTATACATTTAATAGTAAGTATAATATATATATTTGCAACATGACTATGCCCGCATGAGCGGGAAAAACACCTAGTATACTAGCAAAACACATTCATGAAAATGATATATAGAAAGCTTCTCTGCAACAAATACAAAAAAAAAAAATTAAAAATAGCTTGACAAACAAGTTATTACTACAAACTCAAACAAACGTAGCTTACAATAGATAGATTAAGAAAAATAACAGATAGGTAAATAACTTTTAATTAACGGTTTCTTAATAAGCATTCACACAACCTATAGGTGCAAGGTATATGATCTGTCAGATGGTTAATACACTGGATGAGTTTATGCTATAGATGTGATATAACGTAATATCAATTGTTATTCAAATAATTAAGTTGCGATGATATATTCAAATAACTTGCAATGATATAATAAATTGTTGTCTACAACATCTTAAGCAGTGGTAATATATCATTTAAAAAGAAAAAAAAAATTAGAGAATTTTCTTAGGATAGCCTCTTTTAATTTATTTTCACAAAAGGAACTTTCAAACTAGAAAATGAACAAAGAAGTTTTATTGAAGAAAAAATATATTCTTATACCCCTAGGATTAACTAACCCTAGATTTTTTTAGAGTTAAAGAGTGAAGTTTTGGGGTAGGGTCTAAAATATTCAATAATAAAAAATAAATATTAACATTTGAAAATAAAATTTTGAAAAATAGTTTCAAAAATCATTTTTGAATTTATAAAAGAAACTAAAAACAAATTTTGTAAAGATCAAAAAAACAATTATAAAAAGTTTGAATCTGAAAACATATAATTCGAAAAAATATAAAAAAATTTAATTTATTTTTATATTAATTTATTTATTATTTATATATTTATAAAGCAAGGAGAAAAAAAATCTTTTACCTCTTTAGTTAAATCTATTTTGGTCACTTTCTTTTTGAAGACTCTTTTTATTACAAAAACTTACAAAAATAACTATTTGAGAAAATTATCCATAAATATATGTTCATGTTAATTAATTGGTTGTATATATCTATTTAAGAAAATCAATGAAACTCGTAAGGCAGATATAAATAAATTTCAAAATCTTTTATTTTAAATTAAAATTAGTGGCAATATTACTGTATGAATATTCAAGGGGATCTTAAAAATTATTCTATTTTAGAAATATAGATGATATCTGGTAGATCCACATGATTTTATACTATGAATTTTACCGAAGAGAAAATCCTCCAAACAATTATTAATATCAGAGACGATTCAGAGATATAGTAGAACCTCTATAAATTAATACTCGATAAATTAATAATCTCTATAAATTAATAAATTTCACTGGTCCCAACTTGGGCCGGTGTAAAATATTACACAAATCGATAAATAATAAGATAATAATATTTTTAAAACTACCATGTAAATATATGGTCCCACTAAAATCATAAATTAATAATCTAGCTATATATAATTTTATATATAAGTACAATCTAATATTATTCTGTTGGTTTTATATTTACTATAAAAATAATTTTATTTTTTAAAACATTTAAATATATTTTGATAATAATTAGTTAGGGGTTTTATATTTACTATAAAATACTTTTATTTTTAAACATTTCAATATAGTTTGATAATATTTATTTAAATTATATAGAAAACCATGTAACAATTCTATGAAACATAAAAATATACACCACATAAGATAATAAAACAATTTAAAAGTCAAATTTCTAAAATTTAAATAATGTACATATGCTAAAATCAAATATTTTTATTTTATAAATAAAAATGGATTTTTTTTTAAAAAAAAAATCTAAATAAGGAAATTTTTGTAGATTAATATCTCTATAAATTAATAAAAATTCAAAGTCCCAACATTATTAATTTATAGAGGTTTTACTGTACACAAAAATGTCAAGTTGACCATGAACCCTCACAGATTTTTTATTAGGGTAACACGCAACATTTTTGCAGCCTAATATATCAATACACTTCACTTTTAATCCGTTAAAATCCATTAAACATGTGTAAGTTTTCAACATCAATTTAATTTTCAAAAAATAATTTATTTGACAACAAAAATTTAACTAAACAAAAATAATATAAGATTTGGAAGAATGGCCATAGCTTCAAAACAAACAAATATCAAATAAACACCACCAAATATACCATTTTGCTATAACAACGAAAATGATTCACAAAACAAAACAACAATCTTAAACATATTATGAATTTTGGAAAATCAATGGCCATACAAAAATAAGGCAACACTCAACATATTTATATAAAAGAAAAAAAGGTCAATGACCCCGGGCTTGCGCAAGGACTATACAACTAATATAAACAACAACTAGATTTTGACCCGCGCTTGAAAGCGCGGAAATTTTTTATGATTAAAAATTTATATAATTTGGTTTTGTTTTAATTTAAAGAATATTTTGATATAAAATCAGTTCACCAAAATTTGTGGTGGTGATTGTTTTTCATTAGTTTTTAGTTTCAGTTTTTTATTTTTAGATTTTGGATTTTGGTTTTTAGTTTTTAAGTTTCTACTTTTCATTTATTTTCAGTTTTTGGTTTGGGTTTTTAATTTTTAAACCCGCTGAGTTAGTTTGAACTAATATTACCAACAAACAAATCTCAAATAATCAAACATCTAATTTAAAACTAAAAAGATGATAACAAATTTTTTTTTTAAATTTGAAATAGTTTATTTTGTAAATAAATAAAGCAAAAAAATATAACATGTGTTTTCAGCTTTTGGTTTTGGATTTTAGTTTTTAGATTTGGTTTTTGGTTTTGTTTTACATTTTTTTAATCAGTAAATTATTTAAGAAAAAGAAAACAATAAATTATTTAAAAGTTACCATTGAAATTTATCAAAACAAAGTGATTGTTATTTAAAATAAAAAAATATATTAACATGTTTTAAAGTACATGATTTAAATAAATGATTAATAATAGATAATTTTGTTTTGTTAAAAATATTAAATACCTTTTGGGTCTGAAAATAATAATTGATTATTTGATCTTTTAAGGTGAAAAGTTTATTAAATGTTTTTGGAGTTTTTTCTTAATACTAAGCCAAAAAACCAAACTATATAATTTGTTCAAAAAATAAAAGTAAGTCCAAGACTATATTCCATAACTAACCACTGGTTTAATTTAAGTATAATTAGTAGATTTCCATATTCCATATTTTGATGATATTTATTTTAACATGTTTTAAAGAACATGATTTAAATAAAAGATTAATAATAGATAATTTTGTCTTGTTAAAAATATTAAATACCTTTTGGGTCTAAAAATAATAATTGATTTTTTGATCTTTTAAGGTAAAAAGTTTATTCAATGTTTTTGGAGTTTTTTCTTAATACTAAGCCCAAAAACCAAACTATATAATTTGTTCAAAAAATAAAAGTAAACCCAATACTATATTCCATAAATAACCACTGGTTTAATTTAAGTATAATCAGTAGATTTCCATATTCCATATTTTGATGATATCTATTCTTTTAGAACATTCCATATTTGTAGGAGAAAATATGTGTTTTCGGTATACACATAGATATCTGCCGTATTTTGAAGGTATTTTACATTAAGGTCGTCTTTTATATTAATTGTGTTGGTTTAATTTAAGTAATACGGTTTAATCAATTATATGACTTATATTATTTGTAACATTCTAGAAATGGTCTAAATTTAAATGACAACTTGTATCAGTAGATAAAAAGAATGACTCTATTTTAATAGACTAGACTAGATAGTGACACACCCTTTCAAAGGGCGGGAATATGTTTTGTTTTAAGCTTTTTTGAGAAATTTAATTTTTTATATTTGTGTTTTTGGTAATTATATTTGTGTTTAATATTAATTTAGTTAAATATAATTTTTGGTACCTATATTAAATATGTCCAGTTACATAACTATACAATTGTGGCATATGCATTTCAGACATTATTTCCAAATTTTGTTTCTAAATTTGACAACATATTATATTTTCTCAGTAGTTATCCAATTATAACAGTTATAATTGTTAACAAAAAGGTAATTGCTTATTTAACTAACCTATAGGAAGAAAGCGTGAGATATTTTAGGAAATATTTTATGATGTAAAATTCCATTAAGAATTTTAATTTTTTGTTGTGTTTTAAGAATTTTTTCTATTTAAAATATTTTTATAATAAAATCCCAATTTTAAAACCAATTCGGATCCGCGATCAAACCAATAAACCCGTTGACTCGATATCTAATCCAGTTTGGATTTTTATAAAATACCCATTAAATAAAAACTTGATAAAACCTGTAAAACGATAAAATCAGAGGTTGTATGTTGAACCAATGGGTGAAGGACATGTAATACAATTTTGTTAAATTTTTTTTATTTTTGAATA